TGGACTTGATTTGCTAGTATTTTCTTGAGAATTTTCATAAGAATTATTGGTTGGTAGTATTCTTGTGATGTTTTTGTCTGGCTTTGGTATTAGGGTAATGCTGGTTTCATAGAACTAGTTGGAAAATGTTCCTTCCTCTTCTATTTTTAGGAAGAATTTGAGGATTGGTGTTAGTTCTTTAAACACTTGGTAGAATTTACCAGTGAGACTGTCTGGTCCTGGGCTTTTCTTTGTTGAGAAGCTTTTCATCGCTGATTTAATCTCTTTATTTCTATAAATATATTCAGATTTTCTGTTTCTTTATGAGCATGACTCAGTTTGGTAGTTTGCGTCTTTCTAGAAATTTTTCTGTTTTTATCTAGATGGTCTAATTTGTTGGTTTACCATTGTTCTTACTAGTTTCTTATAATCCTTTTTATTTCTGTAAGGTTGGTAGTAATGTCTCCTCTTTGATTCTTGATTTTAGTAATTTTAGTCATCCCTCTTTTTTTCTTGGTCAATTTAGCTTAAACATTTGTCAATTTTGTGGTCTTTTCCAGGAACCATGTTCTGGTTTCACTGATTTCTCACTATTGCTTTTCCAGTCTTTATTTCTTTTATTTCCACTTTAGTTTTTATTATTTACTTCCTTGTTCTTGCTTTGGATTTGGTTTGCTCTTCTTTTTCTAGATTCTTAAGGTTGAAGGTCAAGGTATTGATTTGAGCTTTCTTCTTTTTTTTTTAACCTAGGCATTTACAGGTGTAAATTCCCTCTGAGCACTGCTTTCACTGTAACCCATATATTTGATATGTTGCAATTTTGTTTTCATTCATCTCAAAGTCTGTTCTAATTTTCCTTGTGACTTCTCATTGACCCATTGGCTATTTAGGAATGTGTTATTGATTATAATCTGTCTAGGTATGGATCTCTGAGTTTATCCTACTTGGAGTTCATTAAAGTTCTTAGATGTGGGGATGGTTTTCCATCAAATTTGTCAAGTATTCAGCCACTATTTTAAAAAAAGTCTTTCTGCTTCTTTTTCACTTTCATCCCTCTCTAGGACTCCCATATGTCAATGAATTTTGATTGTAATTTTATCTATGTAAACATATGTAACTTCCAATATATAAATCACCCACAGCCCCCTGGAAGGTTCCCAGGGGCCCCTTCCCATCAATCCACACTACCCCCTGGCTCTGGGGGTGACTTCTAACATTTATCACTATAGATTATTGCTATAGATTTTTTTGCCTGTTTTTGAATGTTATACAACTTAAACCACCCAGAATCAACTCCTTTCTGTCTGGCTTATTTAGCTCAACATTTTATCTGTGAGATTCATGTCTCTTATGACATGGAGCAACAACACGTATGTTTTTATTGCTGTGTCTCATTCTGTTGTATGAACATGTCACACTTTTGTTGATGAATATTTGAGTTGTTCCCAATTTTACCTTTTATAAATAAAATTGCTATAAATATTCTTGTACATATCTTTTGTGGACTCTTGGTTTTTTTTCATATATATGTATGTGTGTGCATATATATTACCTAGGAGTGTAAATTTTGGATTGTAGGGTACAGCCAGTTTTCCAAAGCATTATTCCAATTTAAAGTCCCACTATCAACTTTTGAGGGTTCCAGTTCCTTTACATGCTTCTCAGCACTGAGTAATGTCAATATAAGTTTTTAAAAATTTAATCAATTCATTAATTAAAGACAGGATCTCACTCTGTCACCCAGGCTGGAGTTCAGTGGTGCTATTATAGCTCACCACAGCCTTGACTCCCACCTCAGCTTCCTGAGTAGCTGTGACCACTGATTTGTGAGCTGTGACCATTGATTTGTAGAAGTTTTTAATATATTCTGTATATGTATCCTTGGTTGGATACATATATTATAAACATCTTCCTCTAGTCTGTAGCTTGTCTTTTCATTCTTTTTATGGTATCTTCTTATAAATGGCTTTAAATTTTAATGGAGTAAAATTTATTAATCTTTTCTTTTATGGTTAGCTTTTTTATTATTTAAGTAATATTTGCCTGTCTCTGAGTTATAAAGTCATGTTTTTCTGAAACATTTTATTCAAAATTTCAGATTTACAGAAAAGTTGTAAAAATAATACAGAGAATTTAGGTATACACTTCATCCAGCTTTCCTTAATTTTACTATCTTACATAACCATGGTATAGTTATCAAAATAATGAAAATATTCTTATTTTTCTTTTAGAAGCTTTATTTTGTCTTTTATTATTTTAAAAGTAAAATTAAGTCTATGACCTATATCAAGTTAATTTTGCCTATGATATAATGCATGGGGGGACAAGTTCTATTTATTTTTGATATGGATATGCATGTGCTCCAGCTCCATTCATTGAGAAGCATTTCATTTACATATTGAATCATTGGTCCCTTTGTTGAAAATCTTGTGTAGGTCTGTTTGTGAACTCTTTATTTTGTTTCATTAATCTACTTGGCTATTGCTAACTTATTTGTTGTAGCTTTATACTAGATCTTAAAATCTGGAAGTGTAAGTCCTCCACTTCATTTTTCTATAAGATTTTTTGGATATTTCTGGCTCAATCTCATTATAAGTATCAGAAACAGATTTTCTTTCATGAAACTAGTGAATCATTAGTCAATTTAATGAATGTTAGAGGTGATTAAAACTGAAGAAAGAAATTAATCTTCAAAAGTGAAAGGTCATACCAACTGTGTAGCAGAACAAACCACCATATAATAAAAACAAATCACAATTACATTCCAAGGACATGTCAAAATATGAAAAGATGAAGAAAAATTTATATTAGTTACATGGGAAAAGGAACTATTTATAAAGAAAGATTCTGATCAAAACCACAGTTCTCAGCAACAAAAGTGGAGTCAAGAGGTTAATGAAACATTATTTTCAACGTGCTAAGATCAAGTAACTCTGAAACTAGAATTCTATACCCAGCCAAATTGTGAATCAAAATTGAGAATGAACTATTTTTTGCATTTTAAAATTATACTTTAAGTTCTGGAATACAAGTGCAGAACGTGCAGGATTGTTACATAGATATACGTGTGCCATGGTGGTTTGTTGCACCCATCAACCTGTGATTTACATTAAGTATCTCTCCTATTGCTATCCCTCCCCTAGTCCTCCAACCCCTGACAGGCCCTGGTGTGTGATGTTTCCCTCCCTGTGTCCATGTGTTCTCATTGTTCAACTCCCACTAAAGGGTGATAACATGCAGTGTCTGATTTTCTGTTCTTGTGTTAGTTTGCTGAGAATGATGGTTTCCAGCTTCATTCATGTCCCTGCAAAGGACATAAACTAACTGAAAGGATAATTTTTAAATGGTGCTAAGAATATTGTTTCCATGAAGGGAGAATATAGCTATTGATTTACTAATTTAAGGTAAACAAATCTGAATGAAATAAAATTATTTATTGAAAGATAAGGACTGACCAGCCCCATTGGCTCATGTCTGCAATCCCAGCACTTTGGGAGGCTGAGGTGGGAGGACTGCTTGCACCCAGGAATTTGAGGCTATAGTGAACTATGGTCACTCTGTTGCACTCCAGCTGGGGCAACAGAGGGAAGCTCTGTCTCAAACAAATTAAAAAAAAGATAAATACTGACAGTAATACTAACAACTGAACAAAAAGCACATATGATAAGGGTGGTCTCAGGCAAAATATGATTCAAGGCAAAAACCATTTTGAAGAACAAGGAAAGCATATCAGGCAAGGTTACAGTGTGGAACATTCAAGTGGTTAATTGAAGAACCCTGAATGTTAATGCCTGGACTGTTTTCAGAGGCCTGGGGAAAGGTAAGGAAAGCAAGAAGGAATGTCAAAGTCTTTGCGGACAATTGGGAGTCACGACCATTCTGGGCTGAACAGCAGGGAAGGCACAATGCCATCAGCACCCAGAGGCAGCTGGGAAACTTAGAGAGAAGTGACTGCTGCTGGTCATCTGGGACAATCGGTTGTCTTGTATATATTTTACAATGTCTACTTTGGGGCTTCTTGTGACCTTCTGGATAAGGAAATGGATTTTCTGGGTCCCACTCATTGCATTAATGTGGGTCTCCCAAGGTGGTATGAGGATGAAATAAGCAAATGAGTGAGAGGTGCTCAGAACAGAACCTAGCACAGAGAAAGTTTCCCTTAAACGTTAGGGGGTGGGGGTACTGGGAGCTGCACTCCCGAATGACCACACTCGAAGTAGCATGCACATTCAGGTTTGACCTCTCTTCCCGTGGGATGGACCAATTGCTTAAGCTCCAGACTCAGCAAATGCAGGATCTGCCCCAGCTGAGCACACTACTGCTTCTGATGAAAATTTAGCGCTGGCGGAGCTTAGTTGCCCGGAAGTAAGCTTCTCTTGCCCCACCCACGACGCCCTGGAAGGTGGAAGGCATAGCCGATCTGCTGTCTGGCTCTACGTTCCCCCAAACGTCCACTCTGCTCCAGCCTCACTGGCCTCCCCTCTGGCCCTGTGGGCCTCCTGTCCCCTCTACCGTCAGCTCCACTCCCCGAGCACGGCTGGGGCCCACCCAGTGTGGAGACTTCACCGAAAGCTACTGCCTCCAGGCCTCCTCCCCAGGCCTTCCACCCCAGGCCTTCAGACCCTGGTAACACCTCTGTGCTCTTGGCGTAGTGCTCAACCTTCATTTCTGGGATAAGCAGCTGACCCAATTAACCCCACTGGCGTCTACACCTTGGAGACTGAGTCCTGAGACCTCTGCTGACCACCGCCTGGAGCCCAGGCCCCGCTCCACGGCTGCACGCTTTCGGGTAAAAGCCTGGGACGGCGCTCCAGTGGTCCCTTGCCGCCATCTGAACTGGGGACAGCAACGCCTAGGGAGCCCCAAGACCTCTAACGAGAGCTTTTCAACTCTGTTGACAAACCTCAACCACTCCAGGGACTTCACTGGAAAGAAAAGTTCTAGAAAGACCAAGTGGGTAAGTCACAAGAAAGAACAAAGTTACCCTGATGGGATGGCCTAGGGGACTCTGGGGGGCTGGAGGGGTGGTGGGGAGACGAGGGCCTGAGCACCTTCCCTAACACTATCCTCTCCGCCCTCTCCCACCTGGCCCCGGGCATCTCCCCTATCCTCCTTCCGGCCCCTTCCCTGCTTCTCTCGCAGTTCAGTAGGCCTCGAAGTTTCTGCCTCGCACCCATCCTATGAGACAGCTCTCGCCAACCTGTTCCCCTCAGCCTCGGGCTCAGCCCGTCCTGCCTGCCGCCTCGCAGAATCATCCCTCCACTCTCTGCAGCTGCGAGGTGTGGGTAGAGGCCCAGATTAATGTGGTCTCTGTCCTGCCCTGGGGACCTGTGTCCGGAACGTTTTGCTCCCAGGCCTGCCCTAGGGAACCCAGATGAAGTCAATCTGGCTCCTTCAGACAAGGAAATCGGGTTTTGCATTTTGATAGCTGTTGCTGACTTGAACCTCCAAAGATTAAACAACAAAACTAGCATGTTTTTCTCTATATCCTTTGAAAAGCCAGTATAGGGCTTTATTCTCTAGCAAATTAATTGTAAAAATCAAAGTTCCATTTCTGTAATTTTATTTTTTTAAAACATGGTCAAGTGTAAGCATTCTACATGATTTTGCGTGACGGATTCTTTTTTTTTTTTTTTTTTGAGCCGGAGTTTCACTCTTGTTACCCAGGCAGGAGTGCAATGGTGCGATCTCGGCTCACCGCAACCTCCGCCTCCTGGGTTCAGGCAATTCTCCTGCCTCAGCCTCCCGAGTAGCTGGGATTACAGGCACGCACCACCATGCCCAGCTAATTTTTTATATTTTTAGTAGAGACGGGGTTTCACCATGTTGACCAGGATGGTCTCGATCTCTTGACCTTGTGATCCACCCGCCTTGGCCTCCCAAAGTGCTGGGATTACAGGCTTGAGCCACCACACCCGGCCCTGCGTGGCGGATTCTGTGGCTTGCTTGTGGTTGCCCTCCAGCACAACTGCTGATGAGTACCTGTGTGGGCTAGCAAGTGCTGTCTGTATCTGACATGTGATTAGCTCTGGTCTGCCACATGTTGGAGACAGCCCCCTCTATTTTATGGTTTGCCTTTTGATTTTGAATATGGTAATTTTGTGTCGTTTTTTTAAACCAGACATTCAATTTTAAAATAGCCAGTTTTATCTGCCTATATTTTCTGGTCTTAGTCTCATGCACAAAAGGACTTTTCCATCATACTACTTAAGTTTTTGAGAAACTGACTAAGCATTTGTACAAGTTAACTCTTGCAGGGGGTCCAATCTTTTGGCTTCCACGGGACATATTGGAAGAAGAATTGTTTTGGGTCACACATAAAATACACTGACACTAAAGATAGCTGATGAACTTAAAAAAATCATAAATATGTTATTTTTAAGAGTCCTGTAATGTTTTAAGATTGTGTTGGGCCACATTCGGAGCCATCCTGGGCCGCAGATTGGACAAGCTTGCTCTAGAGGATGTTCTGAACTTGCAAGGGTATGCGTATCACAGGCCAGAAGTACATACAATTTGGTGTGCTCTGCTGGAACTGAACTTATTTTCCATCTGGAGCCCACCTTTGGGCAGTTGGGGAAGAGGGATTTCCTCTTCAGCTTGGTACCTTTGGGCCCTTGAGACTTTCTCAGTGCATTCCGGTTTCCTCCTGCCCCCTTTTCCAGGGGTTGCTCCTGCAGTCTGGGGCCAGGGTGTCTTTGCCTCCAGTTTCTGAGTGGGCAGTTTGGTCAGTGGTCCACATCTGTCCTGCAGGCATCTCAGCGGGACCTCCTCCCACTCCTCAGCTTCTGTCCCTGCAGCCATCTATGAAACACTAAGCTCCTTTCTTGTCACTGGCTGTCATTGTGTGTCCTTCAGCTCCCTCAAGAGGACCCTCCCTGGGGCTGCTGGCTTCTCCTCCACCCCAGGTCCCCTGCCCATTCGGGAGGAAATGAATGCTGCTTCAGCCACATATGCCCTCTGCCCTGACCCTGCCTAAACTTCCATTTCAGAGCATCAGGCCACACCTGAGCACCTCTCATGGTCCAGGACCCCAGCCAGCATAAAGAGCGCCTGGTGCTCTCTTCCCTTAAACCTGTCCTCTGGCCCATGTGGCAGAGAGGAGGGGGAGCATCACTGTCAGATCTCCAGTTTCCCCTGTGACTGCGTTCTGCCTGGGTAGAGGAGAGGAGATACACCAGACCCACTGCACTCTCACAGACGTAACTATCAGGGAGTGGTTCTTTAGCCCACCCCAGTTGCTCAAGCCAGAAACTTGAGCGTCTACCTGGTACCGTCCTCTCCTCCTTACATCCATTTTTCTTCCTTTCCCGGGCCAGGTTTCTTCCATCTGTGGTCCACCCTCTAATCTAGAAAGGCTCCTGAAACACGAAGCTGATAGAGCAGCTTCTCAAAGGCTCCCTGCCATGCTTGCCCTGAGGGTCCTGGCAGGCGCTCCGGGGCACCTTCATGATCTGACTGGTGTCCCTGCCCCGGGGAAGTCCCTCCCTGCTCTCACTTGTACCCTGAAAGGTTTCCCAGTGTCCTCATCTGCTCAGCTTCTGACTCCAATGGGCAGCCTCCCTCTAGGCTCTGCCAAAAGGACTCTGGAGACACCTGGCTGGTTCCTTTCTCATAAAAGTGTACGCAGCTGGAGGTTGTTCACCCGACTGGAGGTTGTGGGTGTTGACAGTCAGCTGTGCCTCAGTCTCCTCCATTCCATGCTGCTCCTGACCCCAGCCCTCAGGACCCCGGGGTTCCTGTCTGCATCAGCCTCTGCTCCTTGATGCTGGGGCTGGATGTGTCCTCTCCTGGCCATGGGACCCCTCTACCATCTATGCCACATCCTTGTCACCTAAGGCAGTCAAAGCATGTACTGAGCACTAGTTCCTATTTCAGAAACAGCTCCAAATTTCAATGCGATTCCTCTGGAGAACTTTGCTTTGGGGAAAAACACCTGGTGCTACCTGGTGTGCCCTCTCCTTGACGCTGGGTCCTTGATCATCTCTTCAATTCCTTTCTATCATGTCCTCACTGTGTCAGGTGTGGGCACTGAATACACCATTCAGAACATTCTGGAACACTCCAAAAACTGGCAGTCAGGCCTTGTGTTCAGACACTGCATCCTTTGAAGGAAACGTTTTGGGAGGTCTTACTTTGTGGGGTGAGCATCTGTCAGGGATGAAATGCTCCAGGACGACCTCTCTCTGGCCCTTCAGCAGCCCCTATGCTGGTGTGGCCTGCTGTGGATTTCTGGCTTTGCTGTTCCTTCATCAGTCAGCCTGGGGGCTTTGCTGAATCTTAACTCTCCCTCCAGCAGGTCTCCAGTAGGGTTGGCTATCCGTACTCTCCAGTCTTTGGTATCTGACTTGCCTAGAGGGAGGCATGAGGAACTGAATTCAGAACTTGTTCGGATGTCCCTAGAAAATGCCTCACAAGGCTGCTGTGCACCCCTTCCACTTCAGAGGCCACTCATTCCTACCCAGGATGCCCTTCTCCTCATCCTCCCTCCAAGATGCCTTGACCTTGGCTCTTCTATTACCTCACCCCTAGTTGTTCCCCTCCTCCCAGCCCTCCTGAGCAACCTGGTCTCACTGCCCTCTGACTGGCTATCTGCCCACTCCACAGATACTAGGAGTCCCCTGAGGTACGTGTGGCCTCAGCTTGCAGAGGAGCACGCTCGCCGAACACTTCGGAGCTTTGAAGTGCACAGGCCATCTAAGATGAGCACAGGTGCATCAGAGAAACAAGCAGAACAGAAGGTCTGCCGTGCCTTCCAGGCCTCCGAAGAAGCCCCTGGGACTCTGGCAGCCATGGCCCCCTGGGTGGCCGTGGGCTCTGCCTATGGCTCCTGCACCTGCCTGGGAGCCCAGCCTGTAACTGACCTGGCCCTCTGGCCTGTCATGGGGACTTCTGTCATCTACTCCTGGATGGGATGTTTTCCACAAGCTTACCCAGCCTTCTGGGCTTACCCGTGCGTGCCGTATGGCGGGTATCTCTGGATGGGATATCCCCCTCCAGTTGCCTTGGTGCCTTCAGTGTGGCCATATTGGAGGGGCACCTCCAGCTTTGACCCCCTTGTGAGAAGTCTGTACCTGGATGCCTTGGCCCCCAACCTATTTCCTATCCCCATGGGATTCCCGCCCAGCTACTCCTTGGCCTCTCCCACTCTGGGCGGGGCCATCTCCAGCCACTGTCCCCAGGTGGGATGCCAGACTCCAGCCAGCTCAGCCCCCATGGCTGCAGTTGGGGAGCTATCCAGAGGAGCTTCCTACTTGAAGAGATGCCAAGCCTCTCCCTCAGAATGGGCCTCCAGGTTCAGTATTTGGGCACCTTTGCCCCACTGCAGCTCAGAGCTCCGTCCTCTGCCCCCTTCCCCCATTGAAGATTCTCAGTCAGACCCCGGCTGCCCCCGCTCCTCCTCCCACAGGTCACCCTGCAGGGCCCGCCGCCGCCTCTTTGAGTGCTGATCAACCCTCCAGACCCACCTCATAATCAGAGACAAGTCTGGTGTGGACTTTTAGTTTTTGAAAGAGTCTCAGAAGTGAGTCGTTTGCTATTCTTCAGTACAGAGCACACCTCCTGGACTCATGCAAGGCTCCTATATTTGGTATTTCTCTTCACTTTCTTGTTTTTCTGTTTGCCCTTCAACCCTGATACTGGCACCTTTTCTCCTTCCTAGACTGTCCTGGGCCAGCCCTCTAGTAGGTTTGCTATAAGTCCTCAAATATGCATGCATGCAACCTTGTAAAATGAGCATATTTAAGCTCAACCCACTGTGCAGAAGTGCTCAGTTAGAATAAGCCTGCAGGTTCAGTATTTGGGCACTGGCACCACCCTCCAGCCCAGGACTCTCTCTGTCCCCTCCTCAGCAAAGGCCCTCAGCAGGACCCCCGCATCCCTGGCCACACTTCGGGGCCTGCCACTGTCTCTTCCAGCATTGGTCTGTCCTCCAGGGAGCCACACACTTAGGTACCTTAGAACCGGTGGAATCCAATGAGCACTTGCTGTAGGCTCTGCGTAGAGGCTTCCAAAACCTGTTTGTTCCAGTATACACGGAGTGGGAAATGCTGACTTGTTCAGAGTGCTGGTGCCCTTGGGTCCTTGTGGGTGTGCTCTTTTCACTCCTCACCCCCTCAGCACCCTCTGGGGAAATGCATACACCAGTAAGATGTACAGCATATGCTTTTAAAAAATTCAAATAAATGATACTGTGCTATAAATCATGTTTTCTACAATTTTTCATTCATTAGTTTAAGACCTAGCCATATCTGCATGTATGTGTAGTGTATTTGGAGTTTGTTTTCAAATTTATTAGCATGTTTTTCATACCGTTATTTCTTACTATTGTTATGGGCTGTATTCCATTTTTCTTTACAATTTTATTGTGTTTGAGGTTTACAACGTGATGTTATGGGATACGTATGATAGTAAAATGTTTACCATAGTGAAGCAGACTAACATCTGGCATCTCACAGTTACATTTTTTGGTGACAAGAGGAGCTAAAATACACTTATTTGACAAAAACCCCTAGTACAATGCCCTTTCATTAACTTTATTCCTCACGCTGTACTTCAGAGCTGTAGGTTTGCTCAGCCAACATATACTTTGTATCCTTGACTTACATACCCCAGTTCCCCCACTCCCAGCTCATGGGAACCACTGCTCCATTCTCTATCTCTGTATTTATGCTCTTTGTTCTCTTTTAATATTTCACATATAAGGGAAACTGTGCAATATTTGCTTTCTGTGTCTGACTTATTTCAGCATGCCCCGTGCATGTTATGGCAAATGGCACAGTCTCCTTTTTAAAGGCTAAATAATATTCTATATCCATTATATATATGGCTATGATCATATTTATCCATTCATCCATTGATAGGCATTTGGGTTGTTTCCATATCTCGGCTATGGTAAATAATTCTGCAGTGAACATGAGAGTCCGGGTATCTTTATGAAGTGGTAATTTCATCTTTTTTGGGTACATTTCCAGAAGCAGCATTGCTGGATCATGTAGTACTATTTTTATTTTCTTCAGGGACTTCTATATTGTTTTCTATAATGGCTGTACTCCTACTTTTCTTTTCAAATATTGTATATATTAAAATTTTCCCATGGATTTTTCTGTTTTATTAGTATCTATTTTTGACTCATTGATTCTGTGTCTTGAAGTATCTTCTTCTTATTGTGAGCTTATTATTTCTTTTGTAACTTAAAGTTGATGATAGCCAGTTCATCTTTAGGCTCGATTCTTTTCTATTACAAATGTTTAAGGCTATAAAATTCCCTCTAAATATACCACTCTAAAATATATCCTGCAGTTATATGATATTCTTATTTGTATATCTTTTTAAGCAATCACTGTTAAGGAAAATCAAGTAAATTTTATTAAAGGCTGACAAACCAAAATTGTTTGTAGTTTAGAATGCCTCATATAGAATTTATATAATAGTCCAGTTACTATTCTAGTTATTGCTGTTAGAATGGACTAATGAGAATTAATGTTTATATGATATTGACAGAGAATTAGTATGGAAGTTATGTACTTATAATATTAATATACCAATAATATGTGCGCTACCCAAGGAACTATAGCTTCATCCGGAAGCACTTTGAACAAAACCTGAATCTCTTGATAGCAATGCTTGTATATCTATTGCAGCTCTTATGCTGACGGTGATAGAGAAATCATCAAAAATACATTGTGGACACTGTGGGAAGCAGTGGTCGAGCAGCCCAGCAAGCCGGGCTGCCCCCATCCTCCACAGCCCCTGGGAGGCCAGCCGTGTGTGCACCTGTAATTGACAGTCTCCTACTGTCAATTACAGAAGGGAGTAGAAAGATTGCCAAGTTTCTTGGTATACTTTTGGAATTTGAAATAATTGATCTGTTAGAAGGTTGAATTAACCTTAAATCCACTGCTGTCTCTGGGACATGACAGCATAGGGAAACCCAGGAAAACCCAGCCGGAGATAAGACATCTATGTAAGTTCCTGGAGGGTGTGCAGAGGGGCAGGGCTGCAGGTCTCTGAGACCCTCAGCTGGGAAGGGGAGAGGGAGCTCTTCAGAGTAGCACCGGGGTATTGATTTCTCCCTCTAGCCTGGAGCTCACCCCTTCAGCTCTCCGTAGTTTTCTCCTAGGCTGTGTGTTTTGGATGATGCCTTCTATAGAGTGGTGGTTTCTCAAGATGGTTCTGTTTCTGCAAGTGCCTTTTACACAGCCTGAGGTTTTCTTATGAACTTCATGTTCTTAGGTGGGGGCAGCAAAGCTTGTGCCAGATGCTTTTCTCTTTTCACACTGATCACAAAGGACTGAGCAAATGTAGGAGACTGTCAATTACAGGTGCACACACGACTGGCCTCCCAGGGGCTGTGGAGGATGGGGGCAGCCCGGCTTGCTGGGCTGCTCGACCACTGCTTCCTACAGTGTCCCAAAAACAGTTGGGTGGCCCCTTGGTGCTGCTAATGTCTACCACAGGCTGAGCTCCCCCACACCCAACAAGGAACAGAGAGCCCCCAAAGCCACCTGCTAACTGGGGCAGAGCCTGCAAGAGCTGCTTACAGGGAGCTGAGAGGATGTGTGGGGCTGCTGCCTCTCGTTTTTACATTTTCTTTTCGGCTTTCCTGAGGTATACAGCAGTCCCTTCTTATCCTCAGTTCTGCTTTCTGAGGTCTCAGTTACCCACAGTCAACTTTGTTCTGAAAATATTAACTAGAACCCCCAGTAATAAGCAATTTCTAAGTCTTAAAGGGGGCACCATTCTGAGTAGTGTGATCAGATCTCTGTCCTGCCCTGGGAATGGAGCCTGCTTTATCCAGAGTTCCACACTGGCTTCAAGTATCACATGTCTGGTAGTCACTCAGTCCTCTTAGCTATCAGGTCCACAAAGGTGGTAGCTCCCTTTGTGTTCAAGGAACCCTTGTTATACCTAATGACGGCCCCAAGGCGCCAGAGGAGTGCTGCTGGCAATTCACACAGGCCAAAGAGAAGCCATAAAGTGTGTCCTTTAAGAAAAAGGTGAAAGTTCTTTACTTAATAAGGAAAGAAAAAAAATAGTATGCTGAGGTTGCTGAGATCTGTACTATAATAAGATGCTGAGAGACAGACAGGGAGACCGCATTCACGTAACTTTATTACACCATATAGATTATTGATCTTACTGTGCCTAATTTATGAATTAAACTGTATCATAGGTACGTACAGGAAAAACAGTCTATATAGGGTTCAGGCATCCACTGCATGTCTTGGAACATACCTGCCTCAGATAAGGGGGAACTACTGTAATTGCATTTTCACATTTTTATTTGAAGAATTTCAATTATAAGGAGTAATAGAACAGCCATATACCCCTCATCTCTATACAACTGTTAATACTTTGCAACATTTATTTTATCTCTTGTTCTCTATTCACACAAATACACCTACAAATAGTATCATGCATATGGATTATCCATTTATAGGGCTGCCTATCAATTTGTCAAACCATTTGAAAGTAAATCAGATGTCTGACACTTCCTCATGCACCTCTAAAAAATAAGAGCATTCTCCTACACTACCACTTATCACACCTGACAAGATTAATAATTCCCTAATGTCTATATTCAGAACATATTCAAATATTCCCAGTTGCCCCAACAATGTACAGCGTTTGATAGCTTTTTTTAAATCTAGGATAGATCACATAGCCATTTGTATATCCTATTTTGTGGAGTGACTATCCTGATGCTTTATTCCTTGGGTTGGTTGTGAGGTATGTGGTGTGTGCGCACTTATTCTATACATGAATGTTTGGTCAGATTCGAGTATTGCTTATAGCTTTTTACTTTTTAAATGGTAGCTGTTGATCAATGGAAATTCTAAATTTTATGGATATCCAATTTTTATTAATATTTTTCTCTTTGGGGTAGTGCTTCAGAAGGCCTAATAGCTTTGTCTACCCCAGGGTCATGGACACAGTCTATTTTTTTCTTGAAGGTTTATTGTGTTACCTTTTATATTCAAATTAATTTTTGAAATGTGTTATCTCTTGGCTTTGATCTATTTCAGTACCTTTTCCCATGTACTTAAAAATTCTGCAATTTGGGGGTATAATATTCCACATATGTCATTTAGGTGAAATTGGATAATTATTTTGTTCAAATGTATATTGCTTTTTTATCTTCTTGTTTCATCAGTTATTGAGAGTTAAAATCTCCAACTCTGATTGTGACTTATACTATTTGTCCTTCTAGTTCTGTTGAGTTTTGCTTTATATTTTTTTAAGTTATGTTATTAGGTGTCTAACAAATTTGGGACAAAGGATGATTTGTCTTTTTTTTATAAGATGTCCCGCTTGACATCTTTCAATGCTTCTAATGTTAACATTGGTTTTGTGTAGGTGATAATATATTCATTCTACTTTTCCTTTTCAGGTTAGTCAAATGAAGCAGTGAGGGTGGAGAAGGAACAAAGAAATCTGTAACTGCCTGTGATCCATTAGCTATAAACACCACTGCTCGTGTACTTTTGGTTGGTGCTTGCCTTACTTTCAATCACTTAGTGTTCTTATGTGTCTTATAAACAGCAGGTTGATGGTTTGGTTTATTCAATCCAGTCTGACAGTATCTGTCTTTTAACTGGATTGTTTACACCATTCATATTTAATAGAATTACTGCTATCATTAACCTTAGTTTACCATCTCACTATTTTTCTCTTTGTTCCCTCTGCTCTTTGTTCCTTTATTCCTCCTTTCCTGCCATCTTTCATAATATTCAAAGTATTTTTTAATTATTCCATTGTATCCCCTCTATTACCATTTAGTTAGACATTCATGTATTATTCTTTTGGTGGTTGCTCTAGATTAAAATATGTACCCTTGATGTATTGCAGCCTTCTTTGTATTTGTATTTTACCACTTTCCAAATCATGCATGAGCCTTCCAACAGTTTTAACTCCATTATTCCCTCTGCTTTTGCCCTATGGTTGTAATGCCTTACTTCTATTTAAATTGGAAGCTTCGCAAGATACTATTGTTTGAGCTTTACAGCCATTACTGTTATACAGGTACTCATATATTTCCCTTTCCAGCAGTCGTCTTTCCTCCCTGAATCTCCATGTCTCTGCCTGGAATTATTTTCTTTCAGCCCAAAGAACTACTTCCATGCTTTGAATCATGAGGAATTCTTTCAGCTTATGTTTGTCTGGAAACATCTTAATTGTGCCTCCTATTTATTTTAACGGATATTGTTGCTGACTCTTTTTTCTAGGTCAGCAGATTTTCCTGAAAGTATAATTTCATTTTTTTTCCCTGTGAGATTCTAAGTCACAAAGACTTATACACTTGGGACAACTTTCAGAAAAGGAGAAAATGTTCAAAGGCTGGTGGACACTCATACCAACATGTTTATTAAGGTAATTTTTTATTACTCATAGTGACTTGATACCATTGCTTGAAAATGTAATATAAAACCAATTCTTTGAAACTGATAGTTATTATAAACCTAGTAAATTTTATAAACTTGTTAAGTACATGATCATTGCAGAGTTCTTTATATGTCCATATATGGAGGAGTTTTGATCAAGTTGCTAATTGTGTGGTTTAAATCTTTTATATCTTTAATTGTTGGTTTCCTGATCTTTCAGGAATTGAGAGAGATGTATATTGAAATTTATCAAAGTATTTTTCTTGTATTTACTGTCATTTTGTATTAATCATTTTGTTATCTTCTACAGTCTAACAATGTGAATTGTGTTGCTCATCCTTGTAATTGTTGATATAAACTAAATCTGACCATATTTTTTATTTTGTAATATATTTTGCATTTTGTTTGTTGATGTGTTATTTAGAATATTTTACATAAGAGAGAAAAGAATGTAGTTACGTTTCTTGTGTTGACCTTACCAGTTTTGAATTCAAAAAGTAAAATTCCAAGGTTTTCCTCTGAAAAGAAATTTCTGGAGTCTATTTATGAGAGAGTTATATATAATAACCTGTTCCTGTGACTTTTTTTTTGAGACAGAGTTTTGTTCTTCTCACCCAAGCTAGAGTGCAATGGTGCAATCTATGCTCATTGGAAACTCCACCTCCCAGGTTCAGGTGATTCTCCTGCCTCGGCCTCCCAAATAGCAGTGATTAAAGGAATGCACCACCACGCCTGGCTAATTTTGTATTTTTAATAGAGACAGGATTTCTCTATATTGGTTGGGCTGGTCTCGAACTCCTGACTTCCACTGATCCGATGTGTTGGCCTCCCAAAGTGCTGGGATTACAGGGGTGAGCCACAGCACTCAGTATCCTGGGACTTCGAAGGAGTAGTAAAGGAGATACCACTTTGCTTATCACATTCATCTGTTTATTAGTAGTTTTTACATTTCCTTTTTTTTCTCCTTTCTTTTATTGCATTTTCGGTTTCGGGGTACATGTGAAGAACATGCAAGATTGTTGCATAGGTACACACATGGCAGTGTGATTTGCTGCCTTCCTCCCCATCACCTATATCTGGCATTTCTCTCCATGCTCTCTCCTCAACTCCCCACCCCCGCTGTCCCTCCCCTATTTCCGCTGACAGACACCAGTGTGTGATGCTCCCCTCCCTGTATTCATGTGTTCTCATTGTTCAACACACACCTATGAGTGAGAACATGTTGTGTTTCATTTTCTGTTCTTGTGTTAGTTTGCTGGGAAAGGTTAACAGGTTCATCCATGTCCCTACAAAGGACAC